CAATACGAGAGAGAGAGAGAGAGAGACAGAGTAACTAAGCATGGATCCGAGACTAGAGGAAGCAGCTTATGCGGGAGACCTCACTTTGTTACGGCGTTTGCTACGAGAAGACCGGCTCCTGCTCCACAGGCAAGCCATCGCCGCGGCTCACCTGTCGGACAGCCCCCTCCACATCGCTGCATCGCTCGGCCACTCCGACCTGGTCCGGGAGATCCTCGCCGTAAACCCGGAGCTCGCGCATGGCCGCAACCGCGAAGGCCTTTCCGCCTTGCACCTGGCCGCTGCCCAAGGCCACTTGTCCGTGGTGAACGAGCTGCTGCAGTACGCAGCCGCTGCCAATCTCTGCTTGGCGACCGACAACGATAGCTTCATGCCCGCCCACACTGCAGCCTTACGAGGCAGGCTTGATGTATTGACAGTGTTACTGGATGCGTGCCCGGAGTCCTTGCGAGCTGTGACATCGCAAGGTGACTCCATCCTTCATCTTACTGTGAAATCGAACAGCTTCGAGACCGTGCAGTTCTTGCTGAACAGAACAGATGAAAACGATGAGCTGCTCAACTCCGGAGATGCGAAAGGCAACACCGTCCTGCACCTTGCTGTGGCCAGAAAACAGCTCCAGGTAGGTATTCCTTATCCCAATTAGAGGAAATGAATTTGTCTTCTTCTTTTCACCAGGTGTTTATGCATCTCTGCACCTTCTGATACGAGAACTTTCCCACAACAAAAGATAAATACTCTTTGCATTTCAATCAAAAAAAGGCAAATGGAAATACCGAGGAACTTCCTGTTCATAGCTCTGGTAATACGATTGAATGCAGACCGTGAAGTTGCTTCTGGGAAGGAGAGGTATCGAAGTTAACGCCACAAACATGAGAGGCGACACCGTCCTTGATATGCTACTGGATTCACCCTGCCAGCTTGGAGATCTGTTGTTGGGAGAACTGATTCGAGCAGCAGGTGGAAGAACCACAGCAGAAGAAGGGAAGACTCGGCCGAAATCGTCACCGGGTGATGCCAGAGCCTCTGCCACTGTCGCGTCACACAGAAGCCGACCAAATCGTTCTGAACCTAAAGAAAAGTACAACAACAAACCAGCAACACTAATGTTGGTGGCGACGTTGATCGCCACCATCACATTCGCAGCTGGGCTGAACCCCCCTGGTGGGTTTAAGCAGAAAGATGATGGTGGGTCGACTCCCCCCATTGCAGAAGTCAATTTTGATGAGAGTTCAAGTGAAGGGGAGGCAGTTCTAAAAGATGATCTCGAGTTATTCCTACTGTTCGACATGTTCGGGTTGTTTGCATCCTTGAGCATCATCCTCTTGTTGATATGTTGTGTGCCCAGACAGACTAAAATGGTGATGGGAATCCTAAAGTGGATTCTATGGCTGGCGGTGTTCTCGACGGCATTAGCATTCTCGACCGCCATTGTGCGAATATTTTCCTATCAGCTCTACACTGTCATCCTTCTCATGAGTTGGTTCGGAATTCTCAGTCTCTTCATGATTTGGGTGTGCTTTAGAGCGATCAGAGGCTTGTTGCGCAAAGGTGGATGCTGGAAGAAGAAAGATGGAGAAGGAGAAAGCCAGGGAGTCCCCACAAGGGCCGTTGCCATCCGCACGAAGATTGTGGTGGGCGCGTTGATGATAATTATCTTTGGAGTAGTTCTTATTGTAAATTATTTAGTGTTTGTTTATATATTAAATATGCCAAATAATAGAATAATATGATCTATCATTATTCTTATATGGTTTATCCTTTATCATCCTTTAAAGTTACTTTATCTTATTTTCAGAATGTAATTTGCTTTAATCATTATTAACTTTGGTTTTGTTGTTACAGATGATTTATTAGAGTTTTGTGGAACATTATATCTCTTACATATTAATGATGTATTTATTTAAAAACACTGGATTCAGCAAATCTAAAACTAATCAATAGTACAATGATGCACTAATATATTTATAAAATCTTAAATATCTGAATCATTATCCATACTTGAATAATTTAGAACCGACATAATATTAAATGGTGCATAAAAGATAACAAGGATTTAATGTATAGAATTATCAATTATTAACAACTGTGTGCCTATACTTATGTTGCACTTCAAAAAAAACATAATTAATCCTTCATAAATACTTTTTTTTTATTATATGAAAGGAATTTAGAATATCTTTTATGTCTAATTTGGATTTTTTTCTGTATCAACTATAATATTTTTATATTATTACTATTTTTATTTAATTTTTTAGGATATTCATTTTATTTGGAAAAATAATGAATGTATTCTTCAAATATGTATTATGCAACCCCTCTGCTACATGTTTTTATTGTCATCAACTCTTTCGGTGGTTATTATTATTATTATTATTATTATTCTTTTAAAGGCTGATGTCACAATTTATTGTTCAATTACATTTATTTTTTTCCTTTTCATCAAGCTTTTAAAATTTGTTCTACGATGAAGATGGATTTACAACTATAGACTTGTCATAAGTTTTTTTTATTTTTATTATAAAAATAAGTATTAATTACTCTTATATATGTTATATGTATAGTAATATGGTTAAATTCCCCAAAAATCAAAATTCAATATACAAATTTATAATTTCATAATAAAATTACAAGTTATCATCAATTTCAAGTGAAATTAGTAGGGAGAACCCACCTCAATCATATATCACATGACTATTAGCTCAGCATAAAGAACAAACCTATGTCATATGATAGACACCTAAGTCCCACAAAAAAAGGCTTGTTATAAAGATTCTTCAATTTACTATTATCAATATCAATTACTGTTTACTCATGATTTCACTTTTTATTTCAATCTTAATTTGAGTATAGATGGGATTAGATGAGACGCCCAACTTTATCTTTTTTTACATTGATCATCGAATAAGCAAACAAGCATTAGAGTCATCCTTTTAGTTGTCTTTTTCTCTCAAGCATGATCACAATTTTACTATGCTTAATCCGAGATACGATAACAGTTCCACCGACCCATCCATTCGAAGTCGAAGAATCATCCATATGACACAAAGGTTTTTTAAATATGTCAACCGTTTTAACCCTAAGTGTCAAATAGGTGTTAATTATGTGACATTGATGAATTGTGTCAATCATGTGATATGAAGGTATAATCCACATGATGCTAAAGTATCGATCATATCTTTATTCCTATATTATATTTTAATATATTTTATTAAATGACTCAGATAACTTGATTTATAAAGATTTTGACTCTTAATCGGAAGATTATATATTCACAATCAACTCATGTATTTTAATGCCATAATATTTTTAAAAAATACTATTGTAAAAAATAGAATGGAGGAAAAAATGAAAATATAAAAAGTATAAGCTTGAGTTTTTTCCCATAAATATATCCTCCTTTACGAAAGATGATGCCTATGGTCCGATCGCACTTGACGTAGAATAATATTTAGCAGTTAAAAGTGGCACCCCTAATAGTTCCATGTTAGGAATCCTAACGACAAGTCCACTAAAAGTCACTAAGCTAAGGTAATTAAGATATTAAAGTGATCAAACCACAAGCATATGCATTGTTTTGTATCTTTCTTTGCAATCATAAGATAATACATTATTTTAGTTAGGTTAGAAACTAATCCAAATCAAATATTAGGACAATCTTTTTGCCTCTCATGCAACCTTGAATCAATACCTCTTATGGTCAAAGTCTTCAAATAGACTTCGTACAAGTCATTGTTAATTGTTGGCCTCATGTGAAGTGCTCTGACTCATCATGCATGAACTTGAATGGATGATAGAGCAACGAGGGAATGAGACATGCATCTACAATAAAAGATTTGAGCAACGAGGGAATGAGACATGCATCTACGATAAAAGATTTGGTTGACGTAAAGAGCCACCGAATCATGGTGACATAGGTCGTAAGACTCGAGTCTAGTTGGATAATGACTCATACGTAAATTAGATATTTGGTCTCCATACCCAACTAATTAGATCGAATTAAGGTGTTTTATAAGCTAATAATGCAATAATACATCCTTTGAGCTTCATCTTTTCAGTCGCTTAAAAATATTTCTTCTTTATCCAAACTTTATATACTCCTTGAAACTCTGAAATCTAACCTAATAATGCAATAATACATTCTTCGAGCTTCATCATTCGATTCACTTAAAAATATTTCTTCTTCGAGTCAAACTTTATATTCTTCTTATAACTTTGAAACCTTCTTATGCAATACAAGCGAAGACTAACATCGAGAGACTATGGGGCTATGAAAACTTCATAACTAATTTAGATTTCATATTCTCCAAAGACTAATGTTGAAAATATATTTAATAGAGTCCTTCAATACTTAACATACATCTTTAAATATCTAAGATAAGAGAAAGAAGCAAAAATAAATTGATAGCTCGAATTCTAGATGATTGGATGAATGTTTTACGTTACAATCCATAGTAACATGACAATGTTTTTTGTTCTTAGCCTATTGACTCCGAACAAGAAAGTTGATGATTGGTAAACAAAGAAAATTATGAAATCATAAAGAATTCATCTTTCATTTTCGTTGCCATCTTAATGGAAAACTATGCATCAACTTCTGGGAAAGAAAAGATTAGAACTTTGTGATGTTAGGTAGAAAGCCACAGTGAGGACTTACAAGACCAATTTGGCACCACAAGCTATTGGTCATTGTCTATATCATGCAAGGACATGAGGAGGAACATCTAGAATAGGAAGTTGGACCACTGAACAACTTTCTATCTTGTGGTTTCCATGGATTCTTTTACTTATGATTAATAATTCCATTTCCTAAAGTTAGATGCCTCTTCATTGATTTCAATTAATGGTAGCTGCTTTTTGACTTGCTCATTTTTGCAAGTCATGGGACCTATGTCATATGATGTACTCATGCGCCAAAGCTTCTTCCAAAACGAAGGAGAGTAATCTTTTTTCTGTCTTTTTCTCCTTTTTTTTTTGGAATTAAGATATTCTTATAATTTTTCTCTACGTTGGTGTAGTTTTTCTTTCTCAAAAGAAGCAATTATACCTCCTAATTTGATTTAGGGTTTCACTTAAAAGGGTAAGACTGTAGGCTATTAAAACTCACTATCAGCTGAATCTGATGGGTTGTCAGCCCGTCAGCCCAACAGTTTATGCATCTCTGTACCTTCTGAGACGAGAACTTTCTCATAGCAAAAGATAAATACTCTTTGCGTTTCATTCAAAAAAAGCTAGTGGAAATACTAAGGAACTTCCTGTTCATAACTCTGGTAATACTATTGAATGTAGAACGTGAAGTTGCTTCTGGGACGGCGAGGTATCGAAGCTAACGCCACAAACATGATATGCTACTGGATTCACCCTGCAAACATGGAGATCTATTGTTGGGAGAACTGATTCGGGCAGCAGGTGGAAGAACCGCCGCAGAAGAAGGGAAGACTCAGCCGAAATCGTCACCGAGCGATGCCAGAAGCCGACCAAATCGTTGGTGATACGGCATATTTTGGCGCCCAAGACATGCTAAGTCAGAATCCGTACTAAGGCACTACTCGACCTCGGAAACCCCAAGGCGACACCGTCCTTGATATGCTACTGGATTCACCCGTCGCCTCACACAGAAGCCGACCAAATCGTTGGTGATACGACATATTTTGGCGCCCAAGACACGCTAAGTCAGAATCCGTAGCACTACTCGACCTCGGAAACCCCAAGACGACGCCGCCCCCGAGACACGCCAAGTCAGAATCCATACTAAGGCACTGCTAGACACGTCCACCACGCCAACCTACGTACGACTGACCCACGTACAGTAATATAAAGACCTCTAGCCAGTATCTGGCAGGGGAAGGAAAAAATCAATGGATCACTCCACTGACTTGCTCATCAGAGGGGCCTCATCAGGTGATCCTGACGAGAGCCATTTTTGTAGGAAAACGTGGTCACCTCACGAAGACGAGCTGCCAGCCACCCTGGAGAGGGAGAGACGTAGCTCGGCATACACAGTGCCCGGATCGGCACACCAAGGAACGCTGATCCACACATCGTCACGAGGGCCTGGTCGACCTCGACATCCAGCTCAGCCAACAGAAGACTCCCGACATCGACCAGTGAACCAGGCTGTGCTGACTCACTAGTCACGACACATTTGTTCACTAACATTTTGGTGCTAGAAGGAGGGCATGTCGCATGAGCATCCCGCGGGAGCTATCCCCGAGGGAGAACCACTGGCCGGTCACCCTTTTGTCGGGCCCGGAGATCAGCCCCTCCCCATCCTTCGAGATGGGGGGGATCCCGGTCTCGACGCTAGATCATTGCTGGCGCCCGAGACCAGGTCGGGACAGGAGAAGCCCAAGACCAAATGATGGACCCGAGAGGTCCGCCCGAGCAGAGCATACCCACACATTGCCGAGTCACACTACCCCACTTCGAGCCTGACACTGTATCATCTGACTCGACGGACGACTCGCTTAGGGCCCAATTGTCCTGGGTCAACCAACGTCTGGACGTGTTCCAGCGTGAGTTTCGAAAATCGCAAGGCGAGTCCAGCGAAGGTGACTCGGGCGAGTCCCCTTTCACTTAGGAAATATAGGGTAAGCCGGTACCTCTCAACTTCAGCCTACCGACATTGGAGACATACGATGACAGCTCTGATCCCATGGATCCAATGCCGAGTTGCATCTCGGCCAATCCAACGCCCGAGTCGTATCTCGGTCAACCCAACGCCTAAGTCACATCTCGGCCAATCCAACGCTCGAGTCGCATCTCGGCCAACCCAACGCCCGAGTCACATCTTGGCCAAATCCAGCATCTGAGCCATGCATCTCGACCAATCCAACACCCGAGTCTACT